TTTGCTCCGTCCTTGACTGCTTTCCCAGGCCACAAGCAGGGAGCTGGATAAGAAGTAGAGCAGCTGGGACGTGAACCTCACTCATATGGGATGCTGACACTTGCAGGTGGAGGATTAGCCAGTTGAGCCATGTGCACACTCTTGAGGACTGTGTCTCAGTCAAGCCTGCTTCTAAATCCAGCCAACACATATCCTGATGGGTTTCTGATGCCTTGTGCAGCCCTGCTCGCTCCCAGCCCTGGCTCTTGTACTCAGCAGCAGGAGCTGCAGCTTAGCATTAGATTTCCTATAGTTCCCCTACCAAGCCTGCTCCTAGTCCTGGATCTTCCGCTTGCCAGGGGGTACTGTAGTCCAGCCTGAAATGACTTGCACATTGTCCTGGAACATTCCAGTGGGAGCTGTGGTCCAACTTGACCAGCCTGCATGCATTCTGGCCCTCACATGTGCCCCTGCGTATGGCATCCTAGCTCAGCCTGGCCTCTCCCTGACCCAGCCCACGTGCTGGCTGATGGGTGCTACAACCCTGCCCGGACCAGCCCACCCTCATCCCAGCTTCCAGTAAGGACGTCCCCAAAGTTCCCCTGCCAGGCCTGCTCCCAGTGTGTACCAGCAGATGCTGGCTGCAGCCCAAACTGGCATGACCCACCCCCAGTCTCGGCATTTGCTGGCAGGTGCTACAGCCTGACTCAGCTGTGCCCACCCTCAGACCCAACTCTCACCGGAGGGTGCAACAACCTAGTCCAGCCTGGCTCAGCCCTAGCCTTGGCCATTGTGTGAACTTTTTCTTTCTTTCTCTAAATGTCTGCATTGACTAGAGCAAAGACAGGTGGGTCGAAAGCCAGGAGCCAGGAGCTTCTTCAAGTTCTTCCATATGGGTATAGAGGTCCAAGCACTTGGGCTGTCTTCTGCTGCTTGCTCAGGTGCGTTAACACAGAGCTGGATCAGAAGTGGAGCAGCCGGGACTGGAACTGGTGCTCTGGTAAGGGATGCTGGCATAATGATTTCTGGGAGGAGCCCTTTCTCTTCATTCAGAGGAGCCCTTTGAGCCTGAGGTTCAGAGAGGAAGTGACTAGTCCAAACTTGCTAGGGACAGAGTGGAGTCCGAGCGTCCTTCCGCATCTCCGTTGGCTTCTCCCCTTGGTTTGGAATCTTCCTCACCAATTGGGTTCCCAGCAGTGGCTTCCGAGACTCTTTCTGCGGGGACTTCCGGCAGTGGCCACAGGGGGGCAGCAGCGGGAAGACAGGCGCTGCCCCAGAGCCTTGAGCAGGTAGATGTGGGGTTTCCAGGTCTTAGACACCTACAAAACGCCCTCCCAACCTCAGGGCTGAAGTCCTGGACTTCCAGCTTCTCCCCAAACAGCTTCCACTCACTTGTTCATCTATAATTCAGTCATTTATGGGGAACTCCCCTTGTGCCTGGCCCTGGGCTGGCATCATTTGTATATAGAGGCTGATTACACAGTGCTGGGACTGCTGGAAGGAAGGGGGATTGACCCGGGGGACAGGGGAGCAGCCTGCAGAGGTGGGATATGGTGGGACTGCTTGTCCAGGAGGCTGTCCTGCCCAGAAAATGTCTGGCTCGGGAGCCCCAGCATGTATTTCTTTATCTATCTATCTATCTATCTATCTATCTATCTATCTATCTATCTATTATTTTAAAGATTTATTTACTTTTTTTTTTGGAAAGTTAGATATACAGAGAGGAAGAGAAACAGAAAGATGGTCCATCTACTAGTTCACTCCCCAAGTGGCTGCAATGGCCAGAACTAAGCCAATCCAAAACCAGGGGCCAGGAGTATTTTCTGGGTATCCCACATGGGTACAAGGTTTCAAGACCTTGGGCCATCCTTGACTGCTTTTCCAGGCCACAAACAGGGAGCTAGAAGGGAAGTAGAGCAGCTGGGATACGAACTGGCACCCTATGGGATCCCAGTGCATGCAAGGCAAGGACTTTAGCCACTAGGCTACCATGCCAGGCCCCAAATCTTAAGATTTTTTTTCTTAAAGATGTATTATTTATTTTTATTGAAAGGCAGAAATACAGAGAGGAGGAGAGACAGAGAGGAAGATCTTCCATCCAATGGTTCACTCTCCAAGTGACCGCAACAGCTGGAGCTGAGCCAATCTGAAGCCAGGAGCCAGGAGCTCTTCCAGGTCTCCCACATGGGTGCAGGGTCCCAAGGCTTTGGGCTGTCCTCGACTGCTTTCCCAGGCCACAAGCAGGGAGCTGGATGGGAAGCAGGGCTGCCGGGATTAGAACCAGCACCCATATGGGATCCCAGGCATTCAAGGCAAGGACTTTAACTGCTATACTGTCGTGCTGGGCCCAAATCTTAAGATTTTACTTTAAAGAGTTACAAAGAAAGGGAGAGACAGAAACAGAGATCTTTCATCGGCTGGTCGTAACAGCCAGAGCTGGGCTTATCCACTGTTTCCACATTCTCCTTTTTCCTCCCTGTATCTGGGGGAAGAGAGGATGTAAGAGGAGAAGCTACACCTGGGCTTTTCCAAAGTTGGGAGCCCAGAGCTTCTTCCAGGTCTCTCACGTGGGTATAGGGTCTCAAGGCTTTGGGCCATTCTCTGCTGCCTTGCGAGGTTGTTAGCAGGGAGCTGGATGGGAAGTAGAGCAGCCAGGACTAGAACCAGTGCTGATATGGGATGCTGGAGCCGCTGGCATAGGATTAGCTTGCTATGCTACTATGCCATCTCCCACGAGCACAGCATGTTCTGTTTCCCTTACCACAGTGTCTACAGCAATAACTGGCCCAGTTTAGGTACTACAGTACATGTTGAACAACCTTTCCTTCGTAGACCCCCAAAAGATTCTGCCTCTCCTTCTCCTGTTGCCCTGTCCTTCACCAGCCAGGCTCCGGGCTTCGCTGCTCCTGGAGCAGTGGTGGCCACATGCACTTGCAAATCACACTCACACGTGGCAAGGCGGGTCAGTTGGGTGGCCGCTGTGGCGAGCTCAGGTAAAGAGAAGCAAGCTAGGGGAAGGTGCCGCTGAGCCATGGTGGACAGGCTTGCCTTTGGCGGGACTGACCTTGACTGCCCCTCGCTCAGGACTCTGACCCCAGGGTGGGGTTGAGGGGACACTGATGGGGCCTAGCTGCCTCCCCTCCCCACAGCTGGGAAAGCTGGTCCATTTCCCCCACGCCCTCACTCTGTCTTCCTGCAGACACAAGCAGTCTCTTGTGTGCAAGCGTCCTTCACAGAGGCCTGGACACCTCCATGGAGTAGCCTGCCTCTTCTGTGACCAGGGACTCTCCGGGCAACTGTGTTCCTGAGTTCTTGGGGGTCTCCCTAGGGTCCTGGGCCAGCCTCAGCTTGCACCTACATCATCTTCCTGAGTTCCTGTGAGGCAGTGCAATCAGATATCCTGAGCTTCCAGATGGAGACCCCAGGCCGTCCCAGTTTGCCTCTCTGGCCTTGTTCTGTGTGCCCCTCCAGTCACCCCCATCCCCCCGATTCCCTGCCTCACCTCCCATTGGCTGGGCACAGGACTCACTCAGCAGCTTGCCCCGGATGTCTGCATGGTGCCCTGTTGGCATTTCCCCTGGGTTATGGAAAGACAGGGCGTCACATATGCTCAGGAGTTTCGTGGGCTGGTGGTGGGCTTGGGAGGGAAGTATCGCTTGGGGGACTATTTGCGCAAGAGACCTGGAAGGGTGGTGATGACAAGGTATGTCTCTGGCAGGTGCTGGAGGAGGAAAAAGCCTTGGTACAGTGAGGGCCAAGGAATGGAGCAGGCAGGCAGAGGGACTGGCCCCCAGTAGGTTGAGGTCACCGAGAATGATGACAGCTAACGGGTGGGGAGGGAAACCGGGAGTGAAGCAGAAGGAACCGCCAGCAGCGTCAGCCTGGTGCAGGGGAAGCCGTAGCTCAGGCCAGGAACCTTAGGAGGAGCCAGGAGGATGGCCTGGAGACTGAAATGGGAAGGGAGGGTGGGGCGAAGCTCAATGCTTGGACACCAGAGACCAAAACCAGAGGCTGGAGGAAACCTCTGGGGGAGGGGCTCGGATATGGGCAAGTTTGCCATTCACTGCCTAGCCTTGGAGATGAGTGTGGGGTCTGGATCCCTGGAGGGGAAAGACCCTGTGAGCAAGGCAGCAGGAAAGAGAGAGCGGTAGGCAGGGTCATGCGCTGGCCTCCATGAGTGGAGTCCCAGGTAAAGGGCAAAGATGAGCTGGGTTGTCATACAAACTGTAAAACCACCAAGAGCCCAGAGTAAACGATCCCGGTATATTCGGAGGCTGCAAGGTATTTACGCTACCCTCTCTCTTGCTTCTTATTGCTGCCCTGTAGGAGGGGCTATTATCGGGGGCGGCAGTGTGGCACAGATCCCACATGGGCGCCGGTTCAAGTCCCGGATGCTCCACTTCCCATCCTGCTCTCTGCCTGTGGCTTGGGAAGGCAAAGTTGAATGGCTCAAGTCCGTGGGCCGCTGCGTGCCCCACATGGGAGGCCTGAAAGCTGAGCCATCCGGCCAGGGAGGCCTCCACGGCCCTGGGACGCCACACTCCGGCTGCCGCTCCCGCCTGGCCAAGGGAGGCCGCGGCTCGAAGCGGGAATCACGGGCGCTCGCAGGGCTCCAAGCAGCGGAGCCTCCACCGACCACACCCGCCCCCCCAGCACACCCCGCGGCCCCGGCCTGACGTCACCAGACACAGCCCCGTGGTGTCAGGGTCACGTCATCTCTCCGGAACGATCCATTCTCCCAGTGGGGAACTCGAGGATTTGCCTTGGCCCATGATTTACCATACAGAAACACAAAGGCAGCTTGAGAAACGTCTTCAACAATTCTAGTGCCGGTTAGTGTTTTCTTAATGTATTTAGGGCCTTAAAGGTAAGAGAATGTAAGGTTCATTTCAAAAATAGTAGGGAGTCATCCCCCCTAACGGGAACGTAGTCGCGCCCGGCCCGCCCCGGAGTCTGCGCGGTGGGGGGTTATGACGTAAGCGCTGGGCGGGGCCTGGACTGTTCCATTTGCGTCCGGGCAGGGGGGCTGCCTCAGGGGTCCGGGCGGTCCTGGGAATGAAGGTTTCTCTGCAGGGTTCTCTCCTCCTTTCTGTCTCTGTTTAGACGCGGGTGGAAACATGGGGGCGCGGTTTCGGGCTCGTCTGCCCTCTGCGTAGGCAGGAGGAGGGCGGGCGGCACCCCTCGGCTGCCCGCGTGGGCTGGGGAAGCCTCGGCCGAGCGCTCGCCCGGCCCCATGGCCCCGCAGGGAGGCGCCCCGCGGCTGGTGCTGCTGTTCAGCGGGAAGAGGAAATCCGGGAAGGACTTCGTGACCGAGGCTCTGCAGCGCAGGTGTCTGAGGGGCGGGAGGAGTGACTCCAGGGGTGCGTTTGCAAGTGAGCGTTGAGTGGGGGGTCCGGGGGGACAGGGCAGGAGCAGCGCTGCGGATCAGGGGGTGTGGGAGCAGGATTGCCGCCGTGCCACACCCACCCCAGACACCAGAGACCGCCCCAGAGACCACCCGCCTCTCCGAAACCCCTAGGCTGTAGGTCTTTAAATGGCCCGGAACCAGCGTGCATGACAGCTCCTGGCCAGGGAGCGTTGGTGACTGACACCACGTTGTCACGAGGAGGAGGGGCCGAGGTTCAGCCAGCCCATTGGCTTTGGAACTACATCCCAGATGTGGCTCAGCACCCAACACTTGAAGGACTTTGAGCCTTTACCATGTGTCCGGAGCTGTGTGCAGCGGTGACCTCCCTGAATCCCCCTAACCTCTTTGTCAGGTGCAGCACTACATTGTTTTTTTTTTTTTTTTTTTAAAGTTAGCATGAGTTTTCCTTTTTTTTTTTTTTAAAGATTTATTTTTATTATTCTTTTATTGGAAAGGCGGATATACAGAGAGGAGAGACAGAGAGGAAGATCTTCCGTCCGATGATTCACTCCCCAAGTGAGCCGCAACGGGCCGATACTATGCCGGTCCGAAGCCAGGAGCCTCTTCTGGGTCTCCCACGCGGGTGCAGGTTCCCAAAGCTTTGGGCTGTCCTCGACTGCTTTCCCAGGCCACAGGCAGGGAGCTGGAAGGGAAGCAGGGCTGCTGGGATTAGAACCAGCGCCCATATGGGATCCCGGGCGTGCAAGGCGAGGACCTTTAACCACTTGCGCCACCGCGCCGGGCCCAGCACTACATTGTTAAAATGTCACAGATGAAGGAAACCAGCCTCTGAAATGATCAAAAGCAAACCAAGGAAACATGCCCGGATCTCAAAGTATTCAGCAAATCTAGGATTCAGTTCAGCTCCGTCTGAATGCAAAGATTGCTTCAAGCAGCTGTATCTCATGGCCTCCCCACATGACAGCACAGCCAGGCCCCCCATGGTGTGGGTTCTGTGGTCTACAGTCTTGCCAACTGCAAATCAAAAACCGTTCATTGTGGGGCCTGTGTTGTGGTGTGATGGGTAAGGCCTCTGTTATGGGTGCTGGTTTGAGTCCTGGCTGCTCCGCTTCCCAGCGAGCTCCCTGGTACTGCACCCTGGGAAAGCAGCGGAGGAGGATGGCACCCATGTCAGAGACTCAGATGAAGTTCCTGGCTCTTGGCTTCAGCCGGGCCCAACTCTGGCTGTTGCTGCCAGCTGGGGAATGAATCAGCAGATGGAAGATTTCTCTCTAACTCTGATTTCCAAATAAATAAATACATCTTTTTTAAAAATGTATTTATTTAATTGAAAAGGCAGATTACAGACAGGAGGAGAGACAGAGGAACTTCCATCCGATGATTCGCTCCCCAAAGGCCGCAACGGCTGGTGCTGCGCCAATCTGAAGCCAGGAGCCAGGAACTTCTTTCCAGGTCTCCCACACAGGTGCAGGGTCCCAAAGCTCTGGACTGTCCTCGACTGCTTTCCCAGGCCACAAGCAGGGAGTGGAGCTGCCGGGACTAGAACCAATGCCCATATGGGATCCTGGTGTGTTCAAGGTGAGGACTTTAGCCACTAGGCCACGCTGCCAGGCCCAAAGTTATAGAAATTTTATCTGCATTTCCAAGATAGTGAACAGGGACCCAAGTACTTGAGCTGTCTTCTGTTGCCTTCCTAGGTGCGTGATGGAAGCCGTTTGGAAGTGGAGCAGCTGGGACTTGAACCAGCACTTGATATTGGCTTATTTCACTGTGGTTTATCTTGCTGTGCCACTGTGCTGGTTCTCTATGCTATCCTTTTGTTGTTGTTAAAGATGTATTTCTTTTTATTTATTCGAGAGAGGGAAGGAGAGAAGAGGGAGTGAGATCTCTCATGTGCTGGTTCACTCCTCAAATGGCTACAACAGTCAGAGTTGGGCCAGGCTAGGGCAAGGAGCCAGGAGCTTCTTCCGGGTCTCCCACATAGGTGCAGGGACTTAAGGCTTTGAGCCCCCCTCTGCTGCTTCCCCAGGGAGCTGCATTACAAGTGGAGCAGCCTGGCATGGCACCGTGGCCAAGTGGCTAAAGTCCTCACCTTGAATATGCTGGGATCCCAAATGGGCACAGGTTCTAATCCCGGCAGCTCCACTTTCCATCCAGCTCCCTGCTTGTGGCCTGGGAAAGCAGTCGAGGACGGCCCAAAGCCTTGGGACCCTGCACCTGTGTGGGAGACCTGGAAGAGGATCTGGGCTCCTGGCTTCAGATTGGCTCAGCTCCAGCCATTGCGGCCACTTGGGGAGTGAATCATCAGATGAAAGATCTTCCTCTCTGTCTCTCCTTCTCTCTGTATATATCTGACTTTGTAATAAAAATAAATAAATGTAAAAAAAAAAAAGAAGAAGTGGAGCAGCCAGGACATGAAGCAGTGCCCATGTGGGACACTGTGCTCCAGATGGAGGATTAGCTCACCAGGCCACCATGCTGACCCTGAGATGTGGCAGTGCTGCCTTCAGTACTTGTAGTGTTTGCACCGGGCCAGGCAGTTCTTACTCTACTTCAGTTTCTTATTGAAGACATGGAATGATACGGCCATTCATCCCAGCATTGTACCACTGTAAGGCCAGAGCTGGGATCAAGAGTCTCGTTCACATTTGTATTGCTTGGGTCCAAATACACCACCCAAGAAATGGTTGGTTAAGGACGTGGAGTGACAGGATATACGAGTTCAGTTTGTGGTGTTAAGTTGGTTGAGATGAGAGCGCCCCCTGGTGGTGACAAGATTAGTTCCGTTTACCTGTAGTCACCTAATCCGGCCCACTGATTTCATTTTGTGCATTTTACCCCTTAGTCTCTTGCAGTCATTGGAGTTTCACAATGGAAACACACACAGAAGCTGTTATTTCTATTTTATAGATGAGGAAATAGGATTGGAGAGGCTGAGATCTGTCACAGAGCTCCATGTCACAGAGCCACTGGTCATAGAAGTAGAACTTCAGTTCTGGCCCCCTGGATTCCACTTGCTTTTGGGGCACGGAAGCTTCTGGATGCTCTTCGTTAACCATGGTTCTTTTCTCCTTGCCCATAGGCTTGGCGCTGGCGTCTGTGCTATCCTCCGGCTCTCTGGTCCACTCAAGGAACAGTATGCTCAGGTAGCTGGTGACCTGGTGGCATCCTTGGTTGGGGTGGAGGCCTCCCCAGGTGTGGGAATTGTGGCTGCTGCCGGAGTCCTTAGCATGGTCTCGATGACGCCGCCCACAAGGGTGGCCACGGCGCGTGGTTTCTGGTGGGTGAATCTTTGGGGTCACGTTCAGCTGACCTCACTCATTGGAATGTTCCAGAATGTGTGTCCTGGAGATGCAGCAGGGGCAGCTTTGATGCTGTGTGGCCCCTCAGTCTCAGAGAGATTGTCTCCTTAGACAGGTAGGGACTTGGGCTGCACGTGGACTGCCAGGGTAGGTTATTATGTGAGGGGAATCCAACAGTAAGGTGTAGAACAGAGTGTGGAAAGTGTTGCCTTTGTGCAACTAAAGAGAAAACCTGGGATGACTGGGAACTGTAGACAATGTATAAATATACACTTAGTGCGCCTGAGTCACCTGAGGGGTGCACCTGCGCGTGGAGCATCCTGGGCTGACCCCAGGGAGGGGGCGTGAGAGGAGAGAGACTTTTTCCACTGTAGATGACTGTGTGTATATATATACATATATATGCCAATATACGTATATATATGTATACACACATATATGTATATATGACTATAAACAAATATATAAGCATATAATATACATGTATAACATATGAATGCATAAAATATATACATGTACTTATATATATTTAAAGATTTATTTGTTTTTATTGGGAAGGCAGATTTACAGAGAGAAAGGGAGACAGAGAAAAAGATCCTCCATCCGCTGGTTCAGTCCCCAAGCGGCCACAATGGCCAGAGCTGAGCCGATCCATAACCAGGAGCCAGGAACTTCTTCCTGGTCTCCCACACGGGTGCAGGGTCCCAAGGCTTTGGGCTGTCCTCGACTGTTTTCCCAGGCCACAAGCAGGGAGCTGAAAGGGAAGTAGAACAGTTGGGACATGAACCGGCACACATATGGGATCCCAGAGCATGCACGGCAAAGACCTTAGCCACTAGGCTACCACATCAGACCCATATATATATATATATTTATTTATTTAAAAGTTTATTTTTAAAAGATTTTATAGAGAAAAGAGAGACAGAAAGCTCTTCCATCTGCTGGTTTATTACCCCAGTGGCCACAACAGTCAGAGCTGAATTAATCTGAAAATGGGAGCCAGCAGCTGGGAGCTTCTTTTGGGTCTTCCATGTGCGTGCAGGGTCCTAAGGACTTGGGCCATCCTTTGCTGCCTTCTCAGTCCAAGGGCAGGGAGCTGGATCAGAAGTAGCGCTGCTGGGACTTTAACCAGTGTCCATAAGGGGTGTTGGTGTCATAGGCAGAGGATTAACTTGCTATGCTACTGCGCCAGCTCCCAATGAATATATGTTTTTTTTTGTTTTTTTTTTTTTTTTTTAAAGATTTATTTTTATTTTTTCATTGGAAAGGCGGATATACAGAGAGGAGAGACAGCGAGGAAGATCTTCCGTCCGATGATTCACTCCCCAAGTGAGCGCAACGGTCGATGCCATGCCGATCCGAAGCCAGGAGCCTCTTCTGGGTCTCCCACGCGGGTGCAGGGTCCCAAAGCTTTGGGCTGTCCTCGACTGCTTTCCCGGGCCACAGGCAGGGAGCTGGAAGGGAAGCGGGGCTGCCGGGATTAGAACCGGCGCCCATATGGGATCCCGGGCGTGCAAGGCGAGGACCTTAACCACTGCGCCACCGCGCCAGGCCCGAATATATGTTTTTTTACACTTTAAACTATGTGGATCAAATGACAGCCTTGTTAAAATAGGTTTATTTTTTTCAAAGTTTCATTTATTTTTGTTGGACAGTTAGATATAAGAGAGGTGGAGAGACAGAGAGAAAGACCTGTCTGCTGATGCACTAGTGGCTGCAGTGGCCGGAGCTGAGCTGATCTGAAGCCGGGACAGGAGCTTTCTCCGGGTCTCCCACACAGGTGCAGGGTCCCAAGGCTTTGGGCCATCCTTGACTGCTTTCCCAGGCCACAAGCAGGGAGCTGGAGGGAAAGTGGAGCTGCCAGGACCAGAACTGGCGCCCATATGGTACCCTGGCGCTTGCAAGGCAAGGATTTAGCCAGTAGGCCTCAGCTCCAAGCCCTAAAATATGACTTTGAAAAATAAATAGGAACCCTCCAAATTTCAGAACCTTCCTGGTGACATTAGTTTCCCACAAGGTGAAGGCCGCCTCCCACTTGTTACCTGGTTTTCCTCTTGATCATGATGCTTCCCAGGCCCTAACCCCCGGGAGCCCTGGGGAGGGAGCCATGTGGCTGTCAGCCCCTGGAGGGCAGCACTCAGGCCTGGAGTGTCCCCTGGTCAGAACAGCCCCTGCAGCCCGAGATACCTTCTGCCCGAAGCTGAATGAAAGAGTCCTGTCCCAGCCTGGAACCAGGAGCCTGGGGTCTGAAGGAAGGGAGGGGCTGGGGGCTTGGGATAAGCCATGCCACAAAGGGTGATGGGAGGATGGGGTGTGCGGCTTTGTCCAGCTTTCCCACTTTTGTTGAGGGCTAAGCCTGCGCCCAGGGGACACAGACTAATTTCAGGATTAGTTTAAGCCAGAAATAATTGGAAAGGCACAACTTGCCAAATAGAAAAACCAAGACTGCATGTTTTGAAGACAAAACCCCTTCTGAATTTTCCAGGCCCTTTCCCTTGCTGACTCTGTTGGGCCTTCCACTCCCTGTTGCCTTTTGAAAAATAAATAGGAGGATGGGGGGAAAAACAAATGGGAGGGGGAGGTGGGCAAGGGCAGGGTACGCAGTGGGTGAGTGCTTCTGGCTTTGGGACACCGATGCCACAGCTATCGCACCCTGTGCTTTGCACAGGAGCACGGCTTGGACTTTCAGAGACTCCTGGACGCCAGCACTTACAAGGAGGCCTATCGGAGGGACATGATCCGCTGGGGAGAGGAGAAGCGCCAGGCCGACCCAGGCTTCTTCTGCAGGAAGATTGTGGAGGGCGTCTCCCAGCCCATCTGGGTAAGAGAGCTCCCAGGCTGGCAGGCAGCTGAGAGAAGCCTTGTGCCCTGGCCCTCTGCAGTGGCCCTGCCCCTCTGCCTCAGCTCGGTCCATGTTCCCTGCATCTCTTTCTGGGACAGCCACAGTAACCTCCATGCTGGCTTTTGCACGCTGTGAACCATTTATCGTGCAGCAAGCAGAGTGCCCTTTGGAAAAGGCAAGCCGAGTCTTGGCCCATGGGTTCAGAATACCCAGGTGGCCTCCCTCCTGTGCTCAGGAGCCATAGAGAGCTCCTTGGCCCTAGTGTTTGGGTTTGCACCATCAGCACCTGCTACCTGGCAGCCACCTTCCACCTCAGCTGCAGCTCCCTCAACTCTCTCTGTCCCTCGCATAAATCAAGCTTCTTCTGGAAGCAGAGTCTGGGCACATGGCCTTGCACCTGCCTGCCTTGCCTTTTTTTTTTTTTCATTTAAAAAAAATTATGATACAATTCCATAGGCTTTTTTTTTTTAAAAAAAAAGATGTATTTATTTATTTTATTGCAGAGTCAGGTATATAGAGAGGAGGAGAAACAGAGAGGAAGATCTTCCATCCAATGATTCACTCCCCAAGCAGCTGCAACAGCCGGAGCTGAGCTGATCCGAAACCAGGAGCCAGGAACTTCCTCCAGGTCTCCCATGCTGGTGCAGAGAGTCTCAAGGCTTTGGGCCATCCTTGGCTGCTTTCCCAGGCTGCCAAAGCGGGACTGCCAGGATTAGAACCAGCGCCCATATGGGATCCTGGCACATTCAAGGCAAGGACTTTAGCCACTAGTCCACCACACCAGGGCCTCCATAGGCTTTTTAAAAATCTATTTATTTTATTTGAAAGGCAGATTTACAGAGAGAAGGGCAGGGGAGATATATAGATAGATAGAGAGAGAGAAAGAGAAAGAGAGAGAATATCTCCATCTATTGGCTCATTCCCCAAATGGCCACAATGTTTGGAGCTGAGCCAATCCAAAGCCAGAAACCAGGAATTTCTGGATCTCCCATGTGGGTGCAAGGCCCAAGGCTTTAGGCCATCCTTTGCTGCTTTCCCAGGCCATAAACAAGGAGCTAGATTGGAAGTAGATAACAGCCAGGACTACAACTGGTACTCATATGGGATGCTCGCTGTTGCAGGTAGAGGATCAGCCTACTGAGCCACCACACTAGCCCCCTGCCTTGCCTTTTCTTTCCCACTTCCCCACTTCCGGTTATAGGGCACCTGCCCAGGGAAGCTGTGGTAGCCTGGGCCTGAGCTGATGCCCTGTGACAGGTGCCCTGTGTGTGTCCCTCTCCTTTCCCAGCCTCATTCATTCTGCTGGCAAACACAGTCTGCCTAGGCCGGGCACAGAGCTCTGGGCCTGCAGATGGGCCAGGGACTGGGGATGGTTGAGGGCAGTTTTACGGATAGGGGGAAGCGTTGGAAAAGCAGCTGGGTATTTAGGACATCGTTTGCAGAACATAAAGGCAGGCAGGGGTGCTCTGTGTGCTTGCTGTGGGTGAAGGAGGGGTAGGGCCGGAGTGGATGAGGGTGAGAGGTAAAGGGTAGAGTTCGAAGAGCTTGGCCTTGGCTCCTCGTGAGATGGGGGTGCCCTGGAGGGCCCCGTGTGGAGGAGAGATGGAAGGTGGAGGAAATGCTTCCCCAGCTGCTGAGAGGAAGGGGAAGTGGAAGGGGAGTGGTTGGGTGGGGAGAGCCTCGTTCTGTGACCCGGATGGAACAGAGCCCACTGGGTTTGGCTGGGAATGGGTGGATATAGCACGAACAGTGAAGGTGGAGTTAGTGGAGGATGCGGATGGCAGACATCTGGTGAATGAGTGAATGAATGCTGAGCAGTATCCAGGCTGCTGTTAGGGAGGAGCTGTCCCACTGCTCCCCTCTCCCTCCCCTCCAGCGGCGTGGTGTCCTGTTGCTCACCTGTCCGTGTCCCTCCTCCGCAGCTGGTGAGTGACGCACGGAGGGTATCCGACATCCAGTGGTTTCAGGAGGCCTATGGGGCTGTGACGCAGACGGTCCGTGTGGTGGCCTCGGAGCAGAGCCGACAGCAGCGGGGCTGGGTGTTCACGCTGGGTGAGCTGCTCGCAGTGACTGTCCCCAGGGTTAGGGTCATGGCTTCGTCACCCATGGGTAGGGCTGTGGGGTGCAGGCACTCACCCTCAAGATCTAAGTTTCTTGCTCCTCCCCAGCAGCCCTGAGGGAACCAGTGAGAGGTTATTAGGGCATCCGAAACTTGGGGCTCAGGATTAGAAAGGCATGGAAAGGAACTGGAGAGGAAAATCAGATTAAGGAGTGGAGTGGCAAGGGTGTGTTTTTGTGGCCTTGGCTTGGTCCCCTTCCCTGGGCTGACTTCTCAGAGCGAGTGGGCTTCCTGGGAGAGTTGGCCAGGGATGCAGCCCTGTGGTCCTTAGCTTTCCAGTCTGCTGGGGGCAGTGGTGGCCAGAGGGTGGACCTGGTAAACTGCGCTCCTGTTTGATGAACACAGTGGTGGGGGTAGCAGGGAAAGGTCTGCTGGGTATCCCAGTGCCGTCCCCTTGCTGGGCCCTCCTCTGTGGACAGCTCAGAGGCACAACTCAGACCTGTTGTTCTCCCAGGGTCAGAGCCCAGGGGTCCGGGTCTCCTAATGGCTGCCCAGCTTCTGGGTAGCCAGGCAGGCCACACCTGTGCTCCGCAGCTTCTAAACATGATCTCGCTTTATCATGTACCAGCTGCACCCGGACAGCCACTGTCATTACCATTTCATGTGGCCCTGGGTCCAGGAAGCTTCAGTCTCTTTCCCAGGTCCCTAAGAGTGGGAGGTGGCTGCTCGCCTCTGCCTGTAACCCTGGAACATAGAGGTATCTTGAAGAGGACAGGTCGTGTGGGTATGGGGACACAAGTAGACACAGCTAGCCTGGGTGAACTATGTGGTGGCATGAGAAGTGGTAAATCCACAGGGACCCCAGAGGGAGGGTTCAGGGGGCCATGGCTGCTCGATGTGTCCAGAATTTCATGGTGTTAGCATGAACCCAGGGGTGGGAGAGCTTGGCTTGAGGGAGCAGAGGAGAGGCAGGGGTGGAGTGGGGGGTAGGTGTGGATTGCTGGGGCCTGACCTCACCATGTCTCCTCCACAGGGGTAGACGATGCTGAGTCAGAATGTGGCCTGGATGACTTTGGGGACTTCGACTGGGTCCTGGAGAACCACGGAGACGCCCAGCACCTGGAGGAGCAGTTGGGGAAGCTGCTGGAGTTTGTCCGCTCCAGGCTTTAGGGCTCTGGGGTGGTGCTGTGGTGCTGTGGTGCAGGGCAGGGGAAGGCCCCTGATTGTGCAGACAGCCTAAAACTGAGTTTCTGCGAGTGCTGGTGGATGCTGGATATGTTGGGAGATCTGTGGGGACCCTGTTTTCTCCACAGAGAGACTACCTCAGCCTCCAAGAGGGGAGACAGCTGTGTGTGGAGCAGAAGCATTGGCCTGCAGTGGTCTCGATTCCCTGAGTTGGGCTGCCCTGTGGGGTTCCAATAAACCTCCTTGAGGCACACACCTGGAGCTCAGCAGCTCTTATTTCCCACACACACCCTGCAGGTGGCAGGCCTGTTCCTGGCAGAGATGGGATGCAAGTCCCAGGGCCCCGGCCTTGGCGCTGGCCTGGCAAGGGCCCCTTGGAAGTATGTGAGGCTTTTGGGGTTTCTGCATTTCTTCAAGATTCTTTTTTGCCGCCTTGTGAAATGGGCAGGGAGTGTTGTGTTTCTTTTAGTGACTGGCACATGCCAAGAACTCAGCAAGGTGAAGCAGGGTCAGAGGGTTCCTAAGTGTTCATGCTCAGGGCAGAATGGAAGCTGCCCGATGCTCTGCCATGGCCTACATCCCTGCCACATTCCTGAGTATGCGGTGCCAAGGCCCTGGCCCCTTGGCATCTTGAGGCCGAGCCTCTCTGTCCCTTCTTCTAGCTGACCTCATTCTCCTCTCATGCTTTGTGTTTGTTCTCATGTTGAGAAGGTGATGGGCTCTGTATGACCCCAGCTGAACCTGCCGCGCTCTTGGCCCAGTCTCTTCGTCCTCTGCTGCCGCCTCCCCTGCTGGGTGCCAGGCTCCAGGACAGCCAGGTAAACAGGACACAGGCTGTTCCTCAAAGAGCTTTCCATGGAAGAAGAGGCTGAGAGGCACCCTGGGAGCCAGAAGCCTGAAGTCAGGGCTGGGGCTGGGATCTCACGGCCCAGGGCCCGACTTGTCCAGGGGCAGTCCTGACACCTTAATCTCGGGGTGCTAGCACTGTGGCTGCTGCCTGGACTTCATACTTTGGGACCCAGCACAGATGGCTTGAGAACAATTTCAGTCATGGAAGTGAGCCCCGAGTCCCTGGGGCCTGTCTGGTGAATGCGGAGGATAATGGATCTGAGAACCTGGTAGAGAATGAAGTAGCCAGGGAGGGTGGGATGGGCGTCTTGCCTGTCACTCTGAGAGCGGCCCTGGAGCCTGAGCTGTGGTAGTGATGAGGGACCCTTGAGCAGTTGGTGCCCCCCCCCAACAAAGACACACACAGATTTCCACAAGTTAGTGGACGAAGGAATTAAAGGAGGAGTTGGAGTGTGTAGCACTAAGGTGCAGCTAAGGTGTCACCTGGCATGCCTGTATCCTACATTGGGCGTCTGGATCTCATCTTGGTCCTGCTCCATATTCCAGCATCCTGGGGAGACAACAGCTGTTGGTTCTGCTGGTTGGGCTCTTGCCACTCATGTTATAGAACTAGATTGAGTTCTGGGTTCCTGGCTTCAGTCCGGCCCAGACCTGGCTCTGGGGGATAAGCCAATGGATGGGAGCTCTGTCTCTGCCTTTCAAGTAAAGACATTAAATTTAAAATTTTAAAAAAGAGACATACTGTTTTGCAGCCAAACCTTTTGAAATTGTGCTTAGTTGGAAACTGTAATACACATTTCCCGTGAACTTTTTTGGAAATCCCTGATATGCATGAATTTTAAGATTTTTTGCACTGAAATTTAAAAATTTTGTTTTTCATGAACTTTTCAAAGTTCATCAAAGTGAATATTTAAAAAAAAATCATTTATTTTTATTGCAAAGACAGTTTTACAAAGAGAAGAAGAGACAGATCTCCAATCTGCTGGTTTACTCCCCATATGGCCATAACAGCCAGAGCTAAGCTTCTGAAGCCAGGGATTAGGAGCTTCTCCAAGTTCCTGGCTTTCCCAGGTACATTAGCTGGGAGCTGGATTGGAAGTGGAGCAGCAGGGGCTGGAACCATGATCATTTGGGGATGCAGCAGTTTAACCCACTTCACTACTCTGCCAGGCCTGAAATGCAGCAAATTACATCATATGACAAGCAAGGGTTTTGCCTGAGATCACTACTTCCTTCTTGCACCACGCTGATGTGTTATTCACCCGTCCCTAAATAAATATTCCTATTTCAAACATGAGGCAAGAACCCAGGTCATACCGCCAGCCAGTGGTCAGAGCTGACCCAGGATGGAAGACTGAGTGAGCAATGCCTGACCGAGGAGATGCAGGGAGAGACACTGATGACTTTTAGGACGGTCAGTTCACACACACACTCAAGCCGGGTAGCACTTAGAACCAAGGGGGCCAGCCAGAAGCTGCTGTAGGATTCCAGGCAAACTGTGTTCATGAAGGTTGAGGGCATGCCTGGGTTGCTGGGAAACTGAGGCGTGGTGGCCAGATGCATTGTCCTGAGAGACCAGTGTGCCAGGGCCTTGGACAGGCGTGAGGAAACATGGGCACTGCCAGGCGGGTTCATGTGATGGGGCCCTGCATGGCTTTGTCATGGGTTCTCACCCTATGCTCAAGGCATCTGTTTTCCAAGGAAGGTTCCGTCATGGTCTCTGAGAATCCCAAAAAGACTACAGACAGGGCCCTGCTGACAGGTCCTGGGGACTGATTGGCCACGGAGGCACGGGCAGGTGCTGGAGGCCCCTCACCTCCCACTGTGTATCACCATCCCCACGGATGCCCCCATGGTGGCGGTAGGTCCTTGGCCAGGGTTGGAGCCCAGAGCCATGGTTGGGTGTGATTGGCTCAGACATGGTGCTGCGGCACGCGGGCCTATGAGTTGGGGATGTCTGATTCTGGGGGTGCTCACCTGCCTTCCTGTAACGTTGGGAGGAGTCATGGGGTTGTGATCTGAAGAGCAGCAGGTCCCTGTTACCCCTCATGGTGGGGTGTCATGGCTGCCTCTTGAAATGGGAGGGCTTATGGCTGAGTGGAGTCGCTTGAGGTTCCTCCATACTTTGTTGTGAACTCCTCTAAGTACCAGCATCAGTAATGGGGCTGACTTTTAGCACCTCGTGTTAGGACAACTTTAGCAACTTCTGTTTCAAGATATTCTTTTACCTTACTTCTATCAGTCTTGGCTCTCAGAACTGCTAACTGTTTATAACACCATGTACATATTCTTTTAATGATTGATGGTTATTTTCTCTAAAGATTTAATTGTTTTTATTGGAAAGACAGCTATGCAAAGAGACAGAAAGATCTTCTGTCCACTGGTTCACTCGCCAAGTGGCTGCAAGGGCCAGAGCTGAGCTGATCCAGAGCCAGGAACCAGGAACTTCCTCCGGGTCTCCCACATGGGTGCAGGGTCCCAAGGCTTTGGGCCATCATTGACTGCTTTCCCAGGCCACAAGCAGGGAGCTGGATGACAAATGGAGCAGCCAGGATATTAACTGGCACCCAAATGAGATCCCACCACTAGGCTCCCGTGCTGGGCCTTATTCCATTTATCAGCAGCTTTATTGAAGTATAATGAAGTGTAAAATAACTGCTTATATTTAAGATATACATTTTGGTCAGTTTTGACATATGTGTGCATCTAGAAAAATGTCACTGTATTCGCGTTGACTCATCCACCACTCTAAAAAATATCTTCACATCCCCACTCACCCCCTCCCTGCCTTTCCTGGCTCCCCACCTGCGCAAAGCTGATTGGCTTCTGTCTCTACAGGCTGGTTTGCATTCTCAAGAATTTTACATGACGAATCATATGGTATACTTTTTTTTTTTTTTAAAAAAAGAGATTTATTAATTTTTATTGGAAAGGCAGATCAGATTTATGGAGAAGAAAGACAAAGATCTTCCTTCTGCTGGCCCACTCCCCAAGTGGCTGCAGTGGCTGGAGCTCAGTTAATCCAAAGTCAGAAACCAGGAGCCTCCTCCAGGTCTCTTACATGGGTGCAGGATCCCAAGGCCTTGGTCCATCTTCTGTTGCCCTCCCAGGCCATAAACAGGGAGCTGGATGGAAAGTGAATTAGCTGCATGGGATCCTGGTGCATGCAAGGTGAGGATTTAGCCATTGAGACATCATGTTGGGCCCTTTTGTCTGCTTTAAGAAAAAAATCTTTAAGAAAATTATTTGGGGCTAGCCCTGTGGGTCAACTGGCTAACCTTTGGCTGCAAGTGCCAGCATCCTGTGTGGGTGCCAGTTCATGTTCAAGCTGCTCCAGTTCCTGTACAGCTCCCTGCTTATGTCCTGGGCAAACAGGGTTGTGTAAAGCCTTGGGACCCTGCACCCACATGGGAGACCTAGAAGAGGCTCCTGGCTTTGGGTCAGGTCACCTCTGACTATTTTGACCATTTGGGGAGTGAACCAGTAAATGGAAGATATTTCTTTCTGTCTCTTCTTTCTGTAAAGCTGCCTTTTTGCTAAAAGTAGAACAAATCTTTTTTTAAAACAACGATTTAGGGTAGACATTGTGGCCAATGAGTTAATCCACTGCTTGGGGCGCCTGTATCCCCTGCTGGAGTGGTGGTTTGAATCCCAGTGCAGTTCCTTGCTGATGTGCCTGGGCAGCAGGGCATGGCAGCTCCAGTGCTTGTGCTCCTACCCTACCTGTGGACATCTGGATGGCGTTTCCAGACCCTGACTTCAGCCTGGCCTACCCCCAGATGTTTGGGCAGTGAACCACTGGATGGGACGTTGATCTGTCCCTTTATATATCCATCATTATCTATTTTGCTCCTATCACTTTGACTTTCAAATAAAAAAAAATTCAGTAATTGTTGATTTATTTGAAAGGCAGAAAAACACAAGTCCAGAGGGAATGTGTGTGTGTTGGGGGCAGAGCACTTCCATGTTTTATTCTCTTGTTGGGCCGGACAAAAGCCAGGAGCCTGGAATCCCATCTGGCTCTTCCACCTGGACGGCAGGGGCTCAAGCATTTGAGCCATCGCTTGTTGGCTCCCACCCAAGGCATGTGTCGGCTGGAAGCTGGAATGTGGAGCAGAGCTGGGACTCAAACCCAGGCCTTCTGACGAGTGATGTAAAGCCCTCAGTGGCGGCTTCATTGCCGCACCTTGTTGACTCCACCTGCTTATACTGGGGGTCACCCACGGCATTGCAGCTACCAGCGGCCATTTTTCTGCAGGCCGTAGCTATGAATATGCCACGTAGCTCAGCACTGGCCATTGCAGTCTCTTGGGGGGTGAATCATCGGATGGAAGATCTTCCTCTCTGTCTCTCCTCCTTTCTGTATGTCTGACTTTGTAAGAAAAATAAATAAATCTTTAAA